ATTGGAATCGAACCTGCGTATTTAATTTAATGAAATATATTCTAACTCTAAAATTCTTTTTTTTTTAAAAATTCGAGAAATGATTGGTAATATTTCCACCTTGGTTCTAACTATTTTGGGTTATTTCGCAATTGAATAGATTTTTCTTATTATTTATAAAGAATGGAATTTTTTTCTTTTTTTTTTTTTTTTTTTTTTTTTTTTTTGTTTGGATGCATGATAATGAGGATATATATAGTTACATTTAATTTTAGACATTTTTTTAAAGTGAAAATATGAAACATGTTTTGGCGCAGCATATCAACAATTAATTTACGTTGTGCAAAAGTTGCATTGAAAAATGTGAACCGTGACATCAATGAAAATTGTGTAACGCCACTGGCACAATGCGATTTTTTTTTTCGTATTATGATGTACGAATTGCATTGCATGTTGAAAAAAAATATTATTTTTTATTAAAATTCCTGTCACCACTTATTACTATTTTCCGAAAGATTTTCGTCACAATAATAAATAAATTGCTTTTCCCCCTTTTTTCTCCTATCAAAAAAACTTCTCAAGGAATCTCTCTCGTTTTTTAAATTTTTTTTTTTTTTTAAAAAAAATTTTCTATATTTAAGTATTTATTGATTTATTTTTTTCATTCTATATATATACAAAGTATATAAAAAAATAATATTTTCTACGAAAAAAAAAAAAAAAAAATTACTTTTTCTCAACATGAATCTTTTACCCTTGGATTGCAATGCGGAAATATTGGATTATCTACGAGATGATGAAAAGTCGCTTTATTCAATCATTCGCGTAAATCGAGCATGGTGTCAACTTGCCGTTCCATTATTATGGAATCGACCTTTTAAAGTGAGAAGAAAAGCATCGATAATTAAAACCTTAATTTCATGTCTTTCAGAAGAAGATAGGGTATCAATCCTAGGAGAAGGGATTGATAATTGTTTTGAATTAAAAAGAGCCTCCCCATTATTTGATTATCCCTATTATATACGAGCTTTAGATTATAGAAATCTTGAAAGTTCAATTGAGAATTGGATTTCACATAAAAGTTCACCCCTTAACGATATCGGATTATCGATGTTTAATCTACTTGGAAATTTAATATTCTCACGTTCGCGAGGATTACTTAATTTAAATATACGTCATTATGATTATTATTATTGTAAATTCGGGGAGCATTACACTAGTGTTAAAGACATCTTAACGTTTAATCATCTCGAACGTTCTTTAGAACAACTAGAAAATCTTGAGATTGGTTTTTATTCCGAACCTCGTGAGAATTGTGATGTCGTCTGCGAATCGATATCAGGTTTCTTTTCTGCCTTATCAAAATATTCAAAGTGTATTCAAAAGGTTACCATCGAAATCTTATTAGATTCAACGGAAATAGATAAAGTGAACAAGGTTGCGAATTCATTTTCTGATTTCATTAGATCTCAAACAAAGCTCAGTACTTTGGAAGTTAATCAATCCTTGGGTGGTACCTTTACAAATTCATTATCCGAATCCTTGAATTTTCTTAAATTCAATGATTTAAAGAATGTTCATAGTTTACTCCCTGCGCTTAGCGCTTGCGAAAGATTGGAAACTTTGGAAATCTCGGGATATTTTGCGGTTGAAATGATTGAGGATTTACACGGATCTGTTAACGATTTACCGCCGATCCACATAACGAATTTGCATGTTTATCAACTGGATGAGTATGAATTTGAGAAACACTTGGAGATGTTCATAATAATTTTACTTAATTTAGCAAAAAATTCGTTAAGGTCTTTAACATTAGATTACGTGAATGTACCAGTTATTGAAGCCATAACTGGGGCTTGTTCTACCCTTAAACACATTGCCTTAAACATGATCCTTATGGATGCATCAGTCTTCATTTCATATCTATCAAATTTTACCTGTTTAGAATCTTTGATTTTTATACAAGATTTAGATGAAGAGCAGGAAGATGATTCCATGTTTAGTATTTTACCCGACCTTGCAAGTCGTTTACCTTCGACATTAAAATATTTGGGTTTATGGGCCATAATGGATACTGAAACTTTAAATAAAACATTACGCAAACTTAAGGTTCCCATAGAAGAATTGGACGTTTTTAAAAGATTCGATGATTCTGACATGGAAGTCGTAATTAAATACGCTGAAAAAAATCCAAAGTTGAGAAGGCTCGGTTATAAAAAGGTTTCACCCACCGAATCTAAGCTATCAAAGGATTTATTAGCTCGAGCTAGTTCTATCATTAAGAGCATTGGTGACACGAGACCCATCAAAAATGCTGTATGTTTGTAATTATATGGGACAAAAAGAAATTTTATTTCTTATTTTATTTTATTTTATTTTATTTTTTTTTTTTACATTAGGGTTAAATAAAAGGTTTAAAACCAATTGTACAATATAATAAATGTTAAATATCATACCATCACTTATTTTTCAAATGGAATTTGAAATGTTTAAGCAATCAAAAAATAATATTTAATAAAATACGCGTTCATCATCCTTTCGCTCGCAGAATTTCAAATTTCGATTTTTTTGTAACGTTCAATCAATCTTAAAGAGACTCTCCATTAGGGACTGCAATGAGAAACACCCTAAATTCACGAATAACTCCAATGAATATACATAGATTTTTCTCATCGTCATTGCTTTCTTATATATATTTAACCCTACCATATAACCCGAATATTTTTTCGTTGGTTTCATTCAATCTTTTAACGAAAGGAACGTTTTCGATCATTTCGTGCCTAGTGCTTTTATTTGACTTTCATCATGTGATCTAACAATATCATGTGATTTATACATGAATTTTTGTTTTCTTTTATCATGTGAACGGAAGCCCTATTATATAATATGCAAATAATATCTTTAATAACATCCTTTAATTACAGGACTTTAATTCGAGATTAATTCATATTTGAGCTCTTGTTTGCTAATTATGTTCGTAGGGATACGGAATTTTCGACTCTTAATAACCGATTTCGCCATTTCAAATGACTTTGTTCGTGAGACGCGACTGAGCCAAACACGAATATCTGGGATCATCACAGCTCAAACATAGTTTACAAAATGAAAAAAAACATGGAATTTTGACGAAATAATTCAACAGGTTTCAAAATTTTAATTTTAAATCTGATAAATTCAACGCAAGGCTATAAAGTTTATTGATCATTATTAAGTCGTTAATAATTAAAATTAAGAAAGAACATTTTCGCGATTCATTCGACGGCAGAATCGATTTGAAGGATCTAACGACAGGCTAGAATTTACCACGCTAAATGATACTTCAAACGTATATATTTTTTTTATAATTTAAAACTAATTTTTTGTTTTTTAGCACATTTCATCATCATCCTTATTTTTATTATCAAAAACAGGGAACAAGAGTAGTAATCACTGAAATGTGATAAACAAGGAACATCACCAACTACATTACATATACCCCGAGAAAAATAAAGTGAGTGCAGTACTAAACCATAAATCAATCCTTTACGATGTATAAACTTGCGATATTGACATGTAACGATAAACAAGGGATTGCCTCACGTGGGACAAGTGGACATTTAATAAATGTGTCATGTTTTTAAAAGAATGTTCTTTCGTTTTTCCCATAAATATGCCAACGCATCTGCCCGAATAATGTACAAGAAATAATACAAAAACTTTCCAAATCACTGTATTCCTGTTTAGTAATAAACAAATTATTGCGTATCACTGCAGTAAACTACAGTACGTATCTATCCCTATGATAAAATTCATGGTTTCTAATATCAATGAATTATAAACGATGGATTTATCATCAAACGCAAACTTACTATCCCTTCCAAAGTTCTTGAATAATTTGTATAATAATTTCGAAACCTTTAGGTTTTGGAATTTTCAACAAAAATTTTTGAAGAAAATTTATCGAAAATCGCTCATAACATACCAGAATTAATGCATCTTAATCAAATTCTTTAACATCGATCATTTTTAATTTGATTTGTATCCCATTGACTCATCTATTTTCTGTTTTATTAATCTAAAAGAATTATTTCACTTGTCGTTAATTTCCACATCTGGAAATTTTAGACACAAGGGTAAGACAGAACTTAATTTGTTGGAACCAGTTACACTCGTTCTTTAAAAGTTATACTCATTAGTTAGTGACAACGGGTATACGTTTAAACATTATCTCGGGAGCGAAAGTTGAATATTTCCGTTAGTTGTATCCGTAACATTATTATTATTAAAACAAATATTTTATCTAGAAGATTTACCATTCGAATTCTACTTCAAGACGGTGATTTGAAAATTACCCATTTATCAATTAGATGCGATTAGAACTCGGATTTAGTGGAAATTGGGATCTTCAAACCTAAAGAATTTTTTTGAGAGGTGGAAGAACAAACAAATTTAAGAACTTGAATTTAACCTTTGGATGCATCAAAGCTTTAAAAAGTTATGTAAGATCATGTCATAGATATGAGAACAAAGGAATTTTACGATCTTGGATGTTACAAAGCGTATCAAATGCCTTTTGTAATACATTAATATTTTATTATCATCATTATCATTTAATACTTACTATCCAATGAATCCAATGATGTAATGATACTCTCACGTGCGTGTATAGAAAGGTACATTTACGTAATGTTATACATATTTGAATGCAGATCTGTGATATATTATATAAATTAATATATAATGTAGGACAATGACAGACATGACATAACTATCCATTTTTTCTTGTTTCTGCGGTAATTTTGACCCTTTTTTTTTTTTCCCTTCTCTTATGATTTCATTCTTATCTGCTCACATAATATTAGAATTCTGTTATATGCTTTGTAATATCATTAACAAATAATCTGGGAAATAGGATTTGCTTGAAATGGTAACAAAATATTTAGGAAATGATTTTTTTTTTTTTTTTATCTTTAGCAAGATTAATTAAAATTTTTTTTTTTTTTTTTGAAAAATTAAAATGGTTTCAACAAATATTAGCAAAGATGGAATCCAAAGATAATAAAGATAGCCTTCAAGAGACATCAATTGATTTATCTTCTACAGAAATAGCTAATCAAAAAGAAACAAATCATGCTTTAAGCCAAATTCCATCAGAAATCCTTGTGATAATTTGTGAATTTTTAAATCCTAAAGATCTTTTTTCTTTAACCCTAGTATGTAAAAAATTAAGAAGGTTGTTATGGTCATTTTCTTCTTATATAACGCAACAAATTTGGCGTAATGCAAGAATCAAGTTATCAATTCTTGATGAATATAAGGGAATTCCTCCTCCTGAAGGGATCATGTTTGAGCAGCAATATATTTGGTTGATTCATTTGGCTGATGCTTGTCAATTTTGCGGAAATAAACGAAGGGGCGCTTCAAAGATTTATTGGCCTTTTAAAATGTACTGTTGTGTACCTTGTATCAACCTTCGTACTTTAAAGTAAACATTTCTTTTTTTTTTAAAAAAAAAAAAAAAAAAAAAAATTTTGTTTTGTTCTTTGATGCGAAATTAATAACTATATCTTTATTAGTAATGAAACGGCAAAGCAAAGAGGAATTTCATATACCGTCTTTGATATTTTACCTCACATTGTTCTTTATCGGGATAATCTAAAAGGTTCAAAATGTGATAATAAATTAGATAGATACTGTTTGAGAAGTGAAGCTATAGGAGTTCAAAAGGAATATGAAAGTATTGTTGATTTTGAGGAAAAATTAAAATGGGTTGAAAAGAAAAAACAACATCAACTTGTGATTAATGATAAACTGGTTCAGTATACTCTTCGGGAAGAAAACAGAATTCAAAGAATTTGGAGAGAAGAATATAAATTAAGATTTGGTTATGGACACGCTAATCGATAAAGTTAAGGAAAAAAGATGATTTATGAGACCTCAATAGTTTTTTTTTTTTTTTTTTTTGATTTTTCCAGAAAATCCTTGGTTTGTACTTTAAAACAAGTAAATTTATTTTTTCGAGTAATATTTTGGTAATTTCGAAATAGTAAGTGATATTGCGGTGATCGTGCTTAAAAATAATTCCTATATAGATCAATTCATCTGTTTTTTTTTTTTAAAAAAAAAAAGAATAATTGAAAAGAATTATTAAAACGATAACTTTTAATATTTGAAAAAAAAAAAAAAAAAAAAAAGGAGTCACGTTAATTGTCTATTGAAAGAACGTGACTCTGATTGTCTAAATCTGATGACTAAAGTATTGTTCTTTATCTATATTATCTTAGTTAGATGATCATTGTCGCCCCATATACGTTCAAAGTTTTGGGGGTTGATTTATTATACAAGTTGAGAAGACGAGTTCATATATTCGGTGCGATTAAAAATATAAAAGTTTTTTTTTTTTTTTTTGCGATAAAACCATTTTTTTTCGGTTTGTACCTCATTTAAGATAATTACCCCGCATAGCATTTTTTTTTTTTTAAAAAAAAAAAAATAATGATAGCGTCAACGTTACCTTCAGAAATTTTAATAGAAATCTTTAGTTATCTTCATCCAAAAGATCTTTATTCACTTTTATCAGTATGTAAACGTTATCGTACATTATTATGGTCAAAAACATCAACGACAACTCAACATGTATGGCGTTCCTCAAGGATTCGTTACATATTACATCCAACTTTCGAACCACCTGAAAATATGTGTGAACAACAATATAATTATTTATTAGTAGTGGTGAATGTTTGTCAATTTTGTGGTGAATTTCGAAGACTTTCATTAACTATGCATTGGGAATTTCATATGTATTGTTGTAAAGAATGTTTATCGCAAAGATGCGTTAGGTAAAACTTTTATAAATTTTTTAAATTGTTCTTTTCCTTTTTCATTTTACAAATTTTTTACGAATTTTTTTTTTTTTTTTTTCCTCCCATTTTGTAAAATCCTTAAAATAAAAAAATAAATAAAATAAAGTCGAATTACACTTGTAGAGAAATGGAAATTATTTGAAGAATTATTAACTTGTTTACAACCGATTTTAACCCCACCGACGAATCAAAAAATATTTTTAGTCTCAGACGTAATGACAAAGTTGAATGAATACTTTAATATCGATGAACAAAAGCGACTTGATTGGATACAAGAAACCAAATTAAAAGTTATTAATATGACGAGAGTGCATAAGAAATACAAAACTCAATTTGATTTAATTAGGTATAGCGTTAAGGAAAGGATTCAGAGATTAATAGATAGATTCAAATTTTATCAAGTTACCTCTACTCAAGTTTAACAGAAACTTTTAAAGGGAAAGAAGGTTTTTTATTTTTTTCTTTTTGTAAATTTAATGTGTATTGCTTTATATACTGTATTTATATATATATATAATATTCATTGAAATTGTAAATAAAACTTTATTTATTATTTCCATATGTTTGATTACGTGTTGTATAGAAAAATTAAAACAATAAATTATTTTGTTACATTACTTTGACATTCGGATATACTTAAGCTTTTTATGTCAAATATATTTCTTCTTATCGGATTAAACTTTATCAATTATATTTGTTTGTTTCAATTTTTTATTGATTCAAAGATTTAATTCGTAAATTATGTCACAAATAGATTGGTTGAATTATTTCGTCACACCTTGTGAATTTTTTCTTTAATAAACATTCAAATATAACTTACGTACAAAATCGTTTTTTCTTTACTTTTAAATATGTCCACAACTGAAAAATTAAACAACTCCACCGCTTGCTTTAATTGGTTAGAAAATTCAGAAGACTATATCAAACACTATGATTATGCAAAGTTCACTAATAGGGAAAAAATTAGCAATGGTTCTTTTGGAAATGTTTTTCGTGCAAACTGGAACGATTCCGATACCGCTATGGTTCTTAAATATTTCGACAATTCGAATATTAAAGAAATAGTTAATGAAGTATGTTCTTAAAAATAATTGCAATACAACGTCCCTTTTATAAAGCTAAATATATAAATTACTTTTTTACGATATAATAGATAAAAATGCAACGTGAGGTTGATTATCATGCGAACATTATAAAATTTTACGGAATATCGACATTAGAGACGAATTCTGTCAACAAAATAAACAAGTATTTGTTGGTTATGGAATACGCTGATGGTGGGTCATTGCAGTCTTATTTAGAAGAAAATTTTGTTAATCTAGAATGGAGTGATAAATATCTATTAGCCTATCAACTTGCAAACGCCGTGGCATGTATGCATAATGAAGGAATCATTCATTGCGATTTGGTAGTGTGTTTAGTCATTTAAATTATCTCGTCTTATTTTTGATTATCCATACTAAATATTATGAACATTATACATCTAGCATGCGCAAAATATACTTTTACATCAGAATAATGTAAAGCTAGCGGATTTTGGTTTATCTCGAAAGATAACTGATACAACTAATCATTCAACCGATGTGTTTGGTGTCGTTCCTTACATTGATCCAAAATACCTTAATAATATTAAAAATGATAATAAAAGCCAACATTACATAATAAATACAAAATCTGATGTTTACAGTGTTGGAGTTCTTCTTTGGCAAATCTCAAGTGGACATAGACCTTTTAATTCTAAGAACGAAAAATATGATGTAAGTTTAATTATGGAGATTAAAGGAGGCCGAAGAGAAAATATTGTTAAGGATACACCTATTGAGTATAGTGACTTATATAAAGGTAAATACACAAATATAACGTTCATTATTATGTAATTATTTTAATGACAATATTTAAACTTTATTAGCATGTTGGAATGATGATCCAAAGAAACGCCCTACTATGCAACAAGTTGTTGAATCACTTAGAGCAATAGTTTTTGCGGATTATGAAACATTTCAATCTATTATTCATACAGAAAATAAAACGAATAACATACAATCTAATTCATCATCAATACACATGCATAGTAACAATTCCGAGTTATCTTTAAGTAAACTAATACAAGAATACAACTTGGAATCAATAGATAATGAAGGCAACTCACATATCTTATATCAAGCAAAAAAATTATTTTTGAAAATATTTGATTTAAAAGATAGTATGTATATTCTCATCGATAAGCTAATTGAACTTTTAATTAAAACACATGATGAGGAGGGAAATGGCTTTAATGAAACGAAGCATTTTATTAATCAATGCATATTACTTTCGAACCGAAATTCGTGTGATATATTTGAATGGCTTAAAGAGAATCAGGTGGAATCCAAATATATTTTTCTCTTGGGATTTTTCTATTATAATAATATTAATTTTGAAAAAAATGAAGATGAAGCATTTAAACTGTTTTTAAATGCTTCAAAAAATAATTATCCCATTGCACAAGTTTATCTTGCAAAATGTTATAAGGATGGATATGGAATTGAAATGAATCATGATTTAGCATTTAATTGGATACAAATAGCTGCAGAAAATAAAAGTATTTTTGGACAACTTAATCTTGGTATTTATTATGAAAATAGTATAGGAATTAATAAAGATTTGAATAAATCTTTTTATTGGTATCAAGAAGCAACCAATAATGAAAATTTAAATGGATTATATAATTTAGGTAGATGTTATGAATTGGGAAATGGAATTGAAAAAAATGAAATTAAAGCATTTAAAATATATAATATACTATCTGAAAAAGAATATATAATTGGAAAATACAGACTTGGAGTTTGTTATTATTTAGGAATTAGAACTGAAAATAAATAAAAAAAACATTTAAAATATTTGAAGATTTAGTTAAAATAGAATATAATTATGCACAATATAATCTTGGTTATTTATATAAAAATGGTGAAGGAACAAAAAAGGATTTAGAAAAGACTTTTTATTGGCATCAAAAAGCAGCAATAAATGGGCATATTTTTGCACAAAATGAACTTGCAATTTTACATGAAAATGGTAAAGGAATAGAAAAAGATTTCAATAAAGCTTTATATTGGTATCAAAAAGCAGCAAAAAATAATGATAAATATGCACAATATAATCTTGCTTGGTAATTTATACAAATATAGTGAAGAAACAGAAAAGGATTTAGAAAAGGCCAATTATTGGTATCAAAAATCAGCAGTAAATGGACATATTTCTGCACAAAATGAACTTGCAATTTTATATGAAAATGGTAAAAGTACAAAAAAAGATTTCAATAAGCTTTATATTGGTATCAAAAAGCAGCAAAAAATAATGATAAATATGAACAATATAATCTTGGTTATTTATATAAATATAGTGAAGAAACAGAAAAGGATTTTAAAAAGGCTTTTTACTGGTATTAAAAAGCAGCAGTAAATGGACATATTTCTGCACAAAATGAACTTGCAATTTTATATGAAAATGGTAAAGGAACAGAAAAAGATTTCAATAAAGCTTTATATTGGTATCAAAAAGCAGCAGAAAATAATGATAAATATGCACAATATAATCTTGGTTATTTATATAAAAATAGTGAAGAAACAGAAAAGGATTTAAAAAAGACTTTTTATTGGTATCAAAAAGCAGCAGTAAATGGACATATTTCTGCATAAAATGAACTTGCAATTTTATATGAAAATGGTAAAGAAACAGAAAAAGATTTCAATAAAACTTTATATTGGTATCAAAAAGTAGCAGAAAATAATGATAGATATGCATAATTTAATCTTAGTAATTTATATAAATATAGTGAAGAAACAGAAAAAGATTTAAATAAGGTCTTTTATTGGTATCAAAAATCAGCAATAAATGGATATATTTTTGCACAAAATGAACTTGCAATTTTATATGAAAATGGTAAAGGAACAGAAAAAGATTTTAATAAAGCTTTATATTGATATCAAAAAGTAGCAGAAAATAATGATAAATATGCACAATATAATCTTGGTAATTTATATAAATATAATGAAGAAATAAAAAAGGATTTAGAAAAGGCCTTTTATTGGTTTCAAAAAGCAGCTAAAAATGAACATATTTCTACACAGAATAATCTTGGTATTTTATATAAATATGGTGAAGGAATAGAAATAGATTTAAATAAAGCTTTATATTGGTTTCAAAAAGCGGCAGAAAATAATGATAAATATGCACAATATAATCTTGATAATTTATATAAATATAGTGAAAAAACAGAAAAGGATTTAGAAAAAGCCTTTTATTGATATCAAAAATCAGCAAAAAATGGATATATTTTTGCACAAAATGAACTTGCAATTTTATATAAAAATGGTAAAGAAACAGAAAAAGATTTTAATAAAGCTTTATATTGGTATCAAAAAGTAGCAAAAAGCAATGATAGATATGTATAATATAATTTTAGTTATTTATATAAAAATAGTGAAAAAATAGAAAAGGAGTTAGAAAAGGCTATTTATTAATATCAAAAATCAGCAGTAAATGGATATATTTCTGCACTGAATAATTTTGGTATTTTTATATAAAATGGTAAAGAAATTGTAAAAAGATTTAAATAAAGCTTTATATTGGTTTTAAAAAGCAGCTAAAAATAAACATATTTTTGTACAATATAATCTTGCAAATTTATATGAAAAAGATGAAAAAACAAAACAAAATTTAGAAAAAGCATTTTATTAGTATTAAAAAGCAGCAGAAAATGGTAATATAAATGCACAATATAATTTAGCAGTTTTTTATATCAAAGGTGAAGGAATAGAACAAAATCTAGAAAAAGCATTTTGTTGGTATTAAAAAATAGCAGAAATAGACATATTTTGCATAATATAACCTTGCAATTTTATATAATAATGGTAAAGGAACAATAAAATAATTAGAAATAGCCTTTTATGACATTAATAAATAGCAGAAAATGGATATATTAAAGCACAAATGATCTAACATTATTATATAAAAAGGGTGAAAAAATAAAAAAATTTAGAAAAAGCATTTTATTGGTATCAAAGAGCTGCAGAAAATGGCAATGAAATCGCAATGTATATTTTAGCTAAATATTATCAAGATGGAAAAAGTACTGAAATAAGTTTAGAAAAGCATTCTATTGGTATCAAAAAGCAATAGAATTTGATTATGAAATAGCATTATATGATTTAGCTAAATGTTATCAAGATGGAACTGGTACAAAAAAAAATTAAAAATTGCTTTGCTTTCTATTGGTTTCAAAAAGCAGCCGAAAAAAGGAGATGTAGACGCGTTATATAATTTAGGTGAATGTTATGAATTCGGAAATGGTGTCGAAAAAGACGAGTTTAAAGCATTTGAATATTATCAAAAATCGGCTGAACTAGGACATTTGGAGGCAAAATTTATTCTTGGATATTAT